AAACGTCCTAGCGTCAAAACCATCCGGAGCACAAATGTGCGACGATTCCCATATCGTGCGAAATAGTTTTATATGGGGAGCATAATGGGTCTCATTTCCATATTGTCCTCCATACTTTTCGAAATAGTATTTCTACACTTGCCCCTCCCTATTATTTTATGTTTCTGAGGACAAAAATGGTTCACATCTCATTACCTGACACAAATGAGCCCACAAACCGATTATACACCCTGCAGAAATATATAGTGACTCCAAATAACAACCATTATGACCTCAAAGTCCTCCCCCTCCATCTCGGGGAGCTCTTAAAAATACCCCAATGCCCTTGTTTCTATGCGGAGCTGTACTTCATGTCTTGACTCATGTTCTCTAAAAAATCATGTTGCTAAGTCCATAAAAAATTGAAATATTCAACCTCTTGTGGTACCTTAAATATAATGCGACAAGAGAACATTAAAACAAGTACAATTCAGGACGTATCAAAAAAATTGGCACCGCTAAATTCCATTACTAAAAACAACAATAAAACAATTTAAAAAAAACCAGAAAATAAAATTTAAACACAAATTTAAAAAAATTCTATTAATTTTGTTAATTATAAAATTTTTCAAATTTCAAATTTTTCTATAAGTCCTAAATTTCAGACCCTTTCTGTGCAATTTTTTGTATGTTTTATAATAATACAAAAAATTGCCAAAAAATAAAACTTTTATATCTCGGACGCATTGTTCCTATCTGAAGAAATATTATTCGTTTAACTAAAATCTGAAATATATAACTTCTGTCGTACAAATCTCACAAAATGGGAAACAATTCTTCACTCTTAAATATGTTTGTAACCTAGTAAAAATTTCAGTAGGAACGTTTCCACAGGAAAACCAAAATACAAATGTATCGTAAACTTATAAAGACAACGGAAATAGTCTCTTCATTTTATAGAACTCTGTAAAACAAAATTCTTTACCAAAAACTTGCACAGTTTAGAAAAAGCTAACTAAATTCCAAATTATGCAAAGTTGCTATTAAAAACTTTACGTAAAATTACATGACAAAGTTTAACTTGTCAGGTTACTAATTTTGTTAACGTGTGAATTTAAGTTCCAAACTACAAACTAAGTATTTCGGAACCCTGCCAGGAAAAAGGAAAGTTTCAACAAGAAACTAAATTAATCAACCTTTCGTCCCATCTTTTCCAATCGTGATCTACTTATGGCTGGAATTCAATTCAATTGTCGATTAAAGGAGAAAGTTGTCTACGAACGTCGGCAGGATTTTGTGCACTGGAAATTTTTAGGGAAAAATTCCCAGCTTTTTATATTTAGAGATGCAACTGCACAATGAGGCAATTCACGCAGTCCATGGTAAAATCCGTAAACTTACAAACTATTTCAAAATTTTACAAATATTTCTAAGGAAAATTAGCATGCAGATTTTTGTAAACTTACTCAGATCAAGGGCGTCTGCTTATTTTGTAAAAGTTTGTAAAATTTATTTTTTAAAACTTATATATTTTATAAAATTACTAAAGAAAGAGTGTATGAATTGCCTCAATATTTTGATAATTAAAACTAAAAAAAATACGTGCATAACTTCTTTATGGAACACAATTTTATTTATGCAAAATTTACTAATTTTATAAATATTTAACTTTCTCCATTTTACTTATGTCTAATTTTTCTTTAATCACCGTATTTTATGGGTCTGACCATTTTCACCATTTTTTACTACATTACAATCAAATTTTAATATAATTTTCTCCAACTGAATTTTACATACAGAGAGTCCAGCACATTGCTGAAAACGTATTTGACCTTGAGTAACCCCGGAACGGTTTGTCGTAGCGGGTCAAAATTTTGAACACAGGATCATGTTATCCTCAGATAGTTGTGTGCAAAAATTCAACTCTCTACTTTCAAAAATGCCTCACCCACAGCCGCCAGAAGTCGAGAATTTCGATTCGTTTCGTCGTGATTTCGCTGCGAATTCAATGTCACCTTTTGTATTCGTTTTTTCTTGTCGAAGCAATGGAAGATTTATTAAAACACTAGCGTATAGCCCGGCCAAGGCCGGGTTCTAGAGTTCCAGTGGGGGTGTGCCCAAAGCGAAAAATCCGTCATACTATATTTTAAATAATTCCCAGTAGAGACTTTGTCATACTACATACATACATCAGACTGAGGGTTTGCCCAAGTCATACTGCATTTTAATTAACCTGGTCACAGTAAAATTTGATTCCCCCCTGTGGGAGTAGTTGAATAGCTAATTACTTAAATTCCCGTCGCGTGGGAGTAACTACATAGCTAACTATTAAAATTCCCACGCTTCACGCTCCCGTTAAGTTCCATAAACCCCGTTAACTTCTACAATTAACGCCAAGCTATTGACGGATTCGGATTCAGCGTCAAAAATACATTCGAATTGATATGCGACATCACGAATAAGCCAGATTTGGACACCACGGTCACGGCGAGGTCACGGGGGCCTCGCAGGTCAAAACCATTGACGGCGTTGGATTCAGCGTCAAAAATACATTCGAATTGACATGCCACTCGCTGTGGGTAGAGTTTCTCAAACTAAAATAATTAATTAATAGTGTTTATCACGATCACTTATCATGATAACCACTATTGATGAGTGATGTATGTATGTGGGGTGTACATGTTCATGTATTCATTTATTCATGCAGTGCAGTGCATGCATGCAGTGGTTGCTCCGCTTCCTTCTTTGTCTACTGTATGGGGCAATGTGCATTGCGAAGACGGACCCAGGGACCCAGGGATCATACTAACACTTTATTAGAGTAGATATAAATACATACATATTAAAGTATAAAATACAAATAAAAATATTAAATAACATTCGAATTTACAATACCCAGGGGAGTATGATTTTCGATTGTTGAATTTCTGTATTCACTCGTGTCAGGCTGGAGTTGGGTTTTCTATAACATGACGTCATGAAGTTTAGAACAATTTTGCACAATCCTACTACGTAAAATTTAAAATTGCTTACCATTTTTTTCCAATCTCTGCTTTTTTAAAAAATTTTGGGAGAACGGCGTCCACGGATTTCTTCGTAACCGACATGACACTTGGGTTCATTCACAGACTCTATAAAATTTGAATTGTTGGAAGATTTAAGTAACATTTTATGCCTAATAAGGTTTTAATCAAACAAAATATGACTTATCTGGACCTAACTTTGCACAGTTTCCCCAGTGAGCAAACACATTTTGTGAGTAATGCTAGACCATCTTCTAAAGATCCCAGAAGTATTTCCTTCTACAAATTACCAAATGCATAAGAAATATGTTAAGTTAAGTGTGGTTATTTGTATCGACTACCCACTTACCAAAAGATTTAAGCACCCGTGGATATCACGAATTAAATCACTAATTTATTAATTATTAATTTGCACTAGAGGAAGTTTATTTATTAAGTTTTCTCCGTTGTGATCGCCTTAAAAGATCCGGTCGAAGGGCAGCGAATTCTCTTCGATTTTTCGATGAGAAATATATCGTGGCGAAGTCGTTGCGGGTTCTAGACGAAATAGCCCTCGAAGTCGCAACGATTTTTCGCTGCAGCGAATTCGCTGTAAATTCGCTATGATCGCAGAGAATTCGACCAACGAATTGCCTACTGGGAATATGCATGATGTGACACGAATAGCCCGACAGTATAAAAAATATTCCCATTTTAATCAGTTTTCCTCCCTTGATTCTAAACTATTTGATTAAAAACAGCGATTCGTACTCTGACATGTGCACGTCATCTGAAGTGTCAGAGATTCACAGATAAATTTCTACACGTGGCAACAATCTAGTGAAAGTTGACGTCCGTCCGCCACAATAAATTTCACTTTTGAATAAATATGCGTTTTAAGTTAAGTGACAGTACACGACATGCAAATAAATATGCGGAGGTGGACGTGGACATGGAGCAAGTGAGGTGTCAATTATCTGCTAAAAGTGAAGGTCGTCCTCGTCACAGCCACGCGACGGAAGTGGGATTGTCATTCAAACTAGATATTTACATACTGGTGAAAGTGTTTAGGATTGAGAATGAAAAATATGCCAGATTTTCAGGAAATTTTGACCCCCGGGAATTCACAGATATATTTATATATGCTTCAGTTTATATATAAGTTGATAACAAAATTGTGTAGCTATGAATGAGGGATTACCACGTTGGTAATAGCGATTTGTGACGGAAAGGTAACACAAATTTTTACGAAATAAAATTTGACATATTTCCGCTATAGAAATTGATTACAAATTTTTACTACCATTTAGTCTCAAATCCCTACTATTATGACGTGGCAAAGCTAGATTATGACTACACGAACGGGACGATTTTTTAGCAAGGTAATTTGTAATTTACTGTAGGAGGTGCACACACCTATTGATAAATTTTCGAAATTGTTAAATTAATATTTATAAAAAACAGATGTTGTGAAATTAATTTCAATAATGTTAATAATTTACGAGAAAATAAAACACGTGAAGTTTAATTTATTGTGTTTTTGTAGACCGGAATTATTAGCTTTTTAAGTTTTTAACGCATTTGATTATATTGACAAATCAAAACTGGGACATATTCCGTCACATTACACGATCCGTAAATCATACTTTCTAGAATTTTTATAAATTTCTACTCGGACATGAAAGAAACCCATGTTATTTTTCATAACAAATTTATCTAATTATTTTTTACGTCATATCAAATAAATAAGGGCAGACCCCGGAATTACAAATTTTTGAAATTGTAAATTGTATTCATAAAAGAAATTAGATATGCTGTCCTTCATTTCAATAATGGAAATAATTTATGAGAAAATAAAACATGTTTGCTCTTACCAGTGTTTAATTTTTTTACACGCCAGCCGAGTATTTATGTATGTAGCTTTCGCAAATAATTTTGCAATGCGAAATTGAGACGTTATTTAAAACAAAATATTTGCAAAAAAATCTCCCTGTGCAAATTGGCAATTATTTTTCTAACCTGATCCGTATGGATGGGTGGGGTCGTCATCGTCGTCGTCATCGTCCCCTGAGTGGAGCCTTTTGATTTGGGTGATGTCTTTGTGCGAGGCGAGGAAAAGGACCACCTCGCGTTTCTCGTTCGTTATGGGGACGATATCGAGGAGGCAGAGGAACGGAGATCCCGTCTTTTTGTATAACATGACCTGCAAAAAATTATACAATTTGCACATGTAGGAAATTATAAATAAGTGAAGAGTGGTTTAGTAAATTGAGAGAAGTTTACAGAGAGTTTTCTATCGCTTAAAAATAATAAGGGCATAATTTTCGCTAAAATTTTTGCGCAATTTTATAAACTGTAGTGTCAAAATTTCCCACGATTTCAAATAAAAAATTATAAAGTTCAAAAACTACTGAGGGTCCACGATCCATCTTTTTACAAGGTTTGTCCCCATATTACTAAAAATATTAATAAGTTGTGTCGTACAAATTATACAAATTTCGTCATCAAATAACAACTGTCAATATAAAGTTTATGAAGGAGAATCGATTTGACTAAAAATGGACACCAATCGGGCAAAATAATTTTATCAAGTTTACAAAGAATCATTGATAACATTGTAAACTTATAAACTTTTACTAAATTTTAATAAATTTCTAAGAAAAATTAAGTTACACATTTTCGTAAACTTCCTCAGATCAAGAGCGTCCTTTTATTTTGTAAAACTTTGCCAAATTATTTTACAAAATTTGAAAAAATTACACAGTTATCACTGGCTGCGTGAATTGTCTCATTTGTACAAACAGTATGAAAATTACCTCCAATTTCAGCTCAGACTTGAGTTCGAGTGATTTTGCAATTTCCAGGATTTGATCCTCCCTCGTCTCCTGGCCAAACAGGAATTTGCAGGCGCACCCCTTTTGCATTATCTGCGCCCGCGACCATCCCGTCAGCTCGCAAAAACCGTCGGAGCAGTACACAATCGGGTGCGTGGCGACTTGCGCGTTTCCCAGGACAAAGTTCGAATCTGTGAATGAAAAAGAATAGAAATCTCGGAATTTCAGAATTTCTCATAATTTTTTTTACAATTTTTTGTTTGAGTGGTTCATTGACAACAGGTCAAGTTAGTGAAATGTAGTATTTTTTAAACTAAACTTTTAAATTTCTCTACTTAAAAAAATGACAAAATAATTTCGACAATAATTTAGCTCAAATTTGTAAAAAAATACGTGAAGATTTATAAGTTCGACACCATTACAAATTTTTACACGAATGTATAAACTTTAATTTATAAAAGATCAAAGTTGCACGATATTTCAAAATTACAATTCCAAATTTCCGTAAATTTCGTAAACATACAATTTCACACAAAAATTTAAAATTGCAACATAATCATTATTCATTTATTCGTTATCAAACTCGAATTTGAGGAAAACTTCATACACTCCTAGTTTCACCACCGTTATTAATTTTTGCATGAATTTGCAATAACGTATTTAATTAAAAAGGTAATGTAAGCGTTAAAGTTGAAATGATGTCTTAATTTTGAATTTCTAAATATTTCCGAAATAAATTTCTATCTGATTTTTGCCCTAATATATTTTCACGCAAGAGAAAAAGATCAAAATAATCTCTTGCTCTTTTCCAAACCTTTTCGGGACCGTGCGTAAAGTATCTCACTCTTAGAAATCCAGAATTAAAATAATACCAAGCGGTATTCATTCTACCAAAGTGGTCTTGATAATTAATACCGTGTAGTAATACTTCGGTATTAAAATTTTACCATATCAGTAGCAAATTTTTCCGGACCGGTATAATTTTAATACCAAGCGGTAACAACTTTAATACCAGCCTCACTATACCAGATTTCAAACAGTGCAAAACCATACAATTTTGACCCTTGACCTACAACAGGTAAACTTTACGTGCAAATAATGCCAAAATTTTTGGCTCGAATTTACCCCATATTTTCCGCACGGTCCCCCTTTCTCGGTCTACTTTCTCTCGCAAAAAGCTTATTTATTGCCAATTTACCCGACGTAAGCCTCTCATAAAGAGCGGATCATTATTAATATTTTCTTAAGGTTAAACTCATCATCTTTTCCACCATTTCGCAGAATCTTGTTTATTACGGATTTTCCCCACTTTACAAGGTTTCCTCTCCTCCTCGCTCCTACTTTTGGAGAAAGGTTAAAGTATATGTATGTACATATGTTTCTGGGAAGTGCTTAATTCAAATCTGGTTAGCTTTCAGCCCGTAATTTATCAACATGTTTTCGGAAACATTGAGGCAATTCAAGTATTTCTTGGTAGCATTTAGACAATTCACGTCAACTTTCGTAAATCCCTAACTGCGTAAATTTACGAAACTTATGAATTTCTGACGTAACTTGGGAACATTTCGAATGCAATTTTTGCTTACGAACTTGTAAAACCTTACGAAGATAAAAGGCATATTTTTCGTTCACAAGCTGATCTTCGTAAGTTTACATGATTACGAACTTACGAAGGCTGGCGTGAGTTGCTTCATTGTAAAATCCGCTTTAACTTCTAATATTTCTGAGGAAAATTAGTTTACAAAGTTTTGTGAATTTACTCAGATCAATGGCGTCTCCTTATTTTGCAAAAGTTAGAAAAATTATTTTACAAAATTTGCCAATTTTGCAAAGGTGTCAAGGACTGCGTGAATTGCCTCATTAATTTCCAAAACTTTCTCTCTCCCAGAAACAAACGTAACGGAAAAGCAATTTAATTTTGTGTGGTTTTTAATACTTTGTGGTCTTCATTACTTGCGTGAAATTAATCCTTTTATTGCTAAAGGTTAAATTACATTAATATTTCTGAGAAGTATACTTATAATTTCACCGGAACTCAAATTTGATTAACTTTCATTCTGAAACGTACCAACACTTGGTTTCAAAGAGCTTACAGACGTATCAGGAAAACAATTAATTTCTATCGGTTTTTAGTTTTTTTTTTAATTTGTGGTCCTTATCATACATATGTGAGGAATTAAAAAGTGGAATCCTAACTTACAAATTATGTTGCTTTTCAATATCAAATTTCGAAAATCTAGAAAATTTTATCTCAACAAATTTTAAAAAATTGTCTATAAAAATATTTTAAAATTGTGTATGAAACAAATTTGGACAAAATTTCAGCGAAATTCAAAACTGCCAAAAAATATACTACAAAAAATTCAGAAGTTCGACACCAGTATACATTTTTCACGAAGTTGATCTACAACTCAAAATTAAGAGGTGTTAGGGTGATGTGTTACATTATGTAACTTACATAATTTCAGTTAATATTTTAAAAATAATATTTGCAAATTTTCGTAAATTTTCAAATTCCACGTCGACGTCGATTAGATAAATGCGATAAAATTTTAAATAATTTACATAATAATAATTTACTAGGGAAGATTGTTTCGGAATTAGACGTCACATTTCTTGTCTAATTTACTTAAATTGTTTTTTCGAATCCCAATACTTTCCTACAAGTTGGTTAAAATGGTGGAGTGAATTTTATGGCAAAATATTTTAAATTTTTTTTCTAGGGATGATAATATTATTGGCTTCTCTTACTGAAAACGAGCCCATATATTTCTCAGATTTTCGTCAAAAGTAACAGGGATTTTCTTTTACTTTTCCCAGTTTACCCATTTTCATTTAGAAATTTATTTATTTTTATTTTGGTTTCATTTTTTCAAAGTAAGCACATAATTTGAATGCAAAACTGTCATAAGTAAAAAAATTTGCATGAATTTAATTGTTGAATTTACAACCAAAATAAAATTCCAAACTGCACTACCGAAAAGAAAGGATTGGCACATCTGAATGATTTACAAATCAATCAAGATCTAGAATATTTTAAGAATGGCTTGAAAATGCTTCTATCAAATAAAAATTTTGCAGTGGATTTTATTAGGAAACTTTAGACACAAATTTTCTCGAGATGAGAATAATATTGCTTTCTCCCTTTGAAAATGAGTCCTCAAAGTTGACAATTTTTCAAATTTTTACAACCGGGAACTTTCTGGATTTATTTTGACGCGATTTCTGAAGTAAAAATGGTATTTTTAAAATGAGAATATAATATTACTTTCTCTCTTTAAAACAGATTCCACTTGTTGCTCAAGGTTAGCACTTATCCGTCAAACCAAGCTTGTTTATTGTGGATTTGCTTTAATTTTTTCCAGTTTGAGATGTTTCCTTACTCTTCTTCCTTTCGAAGGAATGAATTTGTATTCCCATTTTTTATTTGATTTTGAACTATTTAAATTTTTTGAATAAAAATGATATCTTTCGAGAATAGTTATTCTTCAGCAATTCTATATCAAAATCCTCAAGCTATAATGACCGATTTTGAATCTATTAATCCCATTAATCAACAGGCATAAATTAACAATTTTTTTAAATTTTGGCGTGAAAGTTTGTCACTTTCGCGAGAATTTTATTTTTTCAAGAAGAGCATTTTTGACGAGAAGAATGTTGCTTTCTCTTTTTTAAAATAAGTCCACTTGTTGTTCAAAGTTGACAGTTTTCCTTCCAAAGGAACATGTTTATTGCGGATTTGTTTCCAGTTTTTTTCCAGTTTGACATGTTTCCTATCTCGTTTTGTTTTAGAGAGGATGGATTTGTACTCCCGTTTTATATTTAATTTTGAACCTATGAATTTTTAAATAAAAAAATCTTTACAGAATAATTAATCTCGAACTATTTTGTATGAAAATCGTAAAAAAAACTTTTGTCTTGCTGGGATCTTTAAATACAATTGGCAACTATCGGTTACTAATTTTTAAAATTGGCGTGAAAACATGTCAAATTTTGCGACTTTTGCATGAATTTTATTCAGAAACTTTAAAAACGAGAAATTCTCTCGACATTAGAATAATATTAAATCCACTTGTTCAAAATTGACAGCGTTCCTTCCAAAGAAACTTGTTTATTGCGGATTTGTTTCCAGTTTTTTTCCAGTTTGAGATGTTTCTCATCTCTCTTTTGACTGTTAGAGGGAACAGATTTGGATTCCCGTTTTTTTATTTAATTTTAAACCTATGATTTTTTTCTAAATAAAAACGACATATTTTGAGAATAAAATTTTAGAATTCTAGAATTTTATATATCCTCAAATTTATTATTCATAGAATCATGCCGCATTATGAAATCTATTAAAATCATTAATCAGCTGGCATAAATTACCAATTTTTTAAATCGGCTTGAAACTTTTCCATTTCCACATGAATTTTATTAAAGAATCTAAATCTGAATTTTTCTCAAAATGAAATTAATATTACTTTTTTCTTTGAAAATTTTTTCCTTCCAAAGAAACTAGTTATTTTCAGATTTCCTTTAATTTTTTCATGTTTGAGATGTTTCGTTACTTTCCTTTTGAGAGGATGAATTTGTATTATCATTTTTTATCGAATTTTGAACCCATGAATTGATAAACGATATAATTCGAAAATAATTACCAACCTTGTATGAAACTCGTAAAATTTCTTAACCACTGAATTAATTAATTGTTAACCACTCATCGAATTGAATATGTAGACAACCCAATCTACTTGTAATAACGTGTTATTAACAGATCATTAATTTTTTAATATTGGCGTGGAAACATATCAAAGTTTCCGACCTTTGTGTATATTTTATAACGAAACTTCAAAAAGATAAATTTCCTCGAGATGAGAACAATATTGCTTTTACTCTTTAAAAATGGGTCCACTTGTTGCTCAAGGTTAACACGATTTCTTCCAAAGAAGCTTGTTTATTGCGGATTTGCTTTCACTTTTTAGCCCGAGTCAGGGCTTCTGGAACCGTCATGTCCGTCCGTCTGTCTGTCTGTCCGGCACGATAGAGCCAAAACGGCTGAACCGATTGATTTGAAATTTTTACCATATGCATATTGGACAAAGTTAGGAATCGAGTTCGAAGATGGGCGAAATCGGTCAAGTGGTTGACCGGTGGGGGTCATCGGAGTGGGTCGGGTATTATGCACCAAAATTTCAAAATTGTTGTAGAG